GTGGGATAACGTTTTAGTGGAGAACTGTAGAATGAGGGGGTCAAGTGAGATGAACTCTAGGCCTAGGATATAGCAACTACTTGGTGTATGAACTTGGGAAAATGACTTTCCCTCTCTGGGCCTTGGTTTCTGATTTAGGAAAATGATGGGAAGTGAAAAGAAAAAGATCTTTGAAGCCTACAAAATTCTGATGAATGTGTTGATGACTTCAGGGGACTGCTGGTGAAGTATGCCACCTACCTCTTGGCAGAAAGGTGATGGCCTAGAGGTCCTGAATGGGGATATACATTTCTAGATGTGGCCAATACATGGAATTGTTCTGCTTATTATACTTACTTGTTATAATGAGGGCTTCTATTTGGGTGTGGGTGAGTCGATTGTAGTGGGAGTGTAAAAAGAAAGGAAGAAAAGAGCATCAATAAAATGCAAAAGTCCACAAGAAGAAAAAACAAAAATTCAGAAGGGAACACAAGCGGCAATGTTGTCATTACCATGTTAAATTTAATATACATTTAAAAAACAAGCTGCATGTAACAGAGGTTCATGGTTTTGCATACAATCCTCTTTTTATTTTTTGTATATTGAAATATTCATATTTGCAGATGAATGTTAAATTCATAATAAAAAAAGATTAAATTAATGAAAGAGATGTTAGGATTAGACTAAATGATCTATAGTGTCCATTCTGGCTCTAAAATTCTGCGATTCTACTTTATACTAAAATGTTATGAATTTGTAACTAGTCTTTCTCTGGAACTCACCTGTTATTATATCTAGGTATTCAAGAGAGATGTCAAGAGAGGATAAAGGCCATCATAGAGGAGAATGTCTGGTAACATCACTCTCCTACCCAGTAGGGTTGTTTTATTTTTTTCCACTATCCTCTGCCATTGAAAAGGTAACAGCTCTTAATAAGATTTATAGTTCCTACAGTAACTAGTTCAAGACAAGAGAGGAAACTGAAGGTATAGAAGAGAAAGCTCAATATGGTTTGCCCCTAGTGCCATCCTTGAGGCAGTATGGGAGAGTAAAAAGAACCTTACATTGGCAAAAAGGAGACCTGAGTTCTTGGTTCAGCCTAGCCACTAACTTGTCACCACCTCCATTTGGGGCCTCATCACTTCTCTTCTAAATTATTGAAACGATCTCCTAATTAGTGATTCAATCTCATCCCATTCCAGGCTATCCTTCGCACTCCTACTAAAATTCAGATCTGACCATATCTCTCATCCAATCCTACTCAATAAATTCCAGTGACTCCCTGTTGCCTCTAGGATAAAATAGAAGTTCCTCTATTTGGCTTTTAAAGCCTCTCACAACATATTCCAACCTATTTTTTTTTCCCAGCCTAATTGTATATTACTTCTCCATCCTTGACTCTTGGATCCTTCCAAACTGACCTCTCTGCTCTTCACATGATATTTTCTTTTTTCTGTGGCTACGTACCAGCAATCCCTATTCCTAGAATGCATCCCCTCCTCACCTCTGCCTTCTCTACAAAGCCTTTACTGATGCCATTTGCTAGTGCTTTTTCTCCCAAACTACTTTGTATTTAACTGTTTTGTATTTACTTATACTTATTCTTTGTATGTATTGTGTGTGTGTATATATATATATACATACACATGTACACACATATATACTTGTGATCTCCCCATTGGAATACAAACTCCTTAAGAGTAGGAATTGTTTCTTTCTTTCTTTCTTTTCTTTTTTTTTTTTTTTGCATTTTTATACCTGGATCCTAGTACAGTGACTGGCACACAGAGTAGGTGCTTTAAAAAGCTTGTTGATTGACTGAACTTGGGTTGGGCTGAGTGATCTTTAAGTTATAGCTATATATATATTTGTGTGTGTGCGTTTCTTCTGTCTTGCCTATATCCAGAGAAGGGTAGAGTGGCCAGGATGTGATAGCCATTTGAAGACATGCCATAAAAGAATAAGTTGAAAGAACTGGGAATATTTAGGTTAGAGAAATGAAGATATGCGAGTTTAGGTGGGAGTGGGGTGAAATGGAGGTGGTGATGTGAGAGGCGGGTAGGGCATGGGGCAGGGCAGAATTAGTGTTTTCACAATCAGGGGGTTGGACTAGGTAATCTCTAAGGTCTCTTTCAATCCCACAATTCCATCCTAAATACTTTGTTTACAATTATGATGGAGTATGTTGACTAATCAGGACCCAGCAAACAATATTTCATTGACATGATTTCATCTTAAAAAAAACTGTACAAACAAAAACATTGCCAAGACACTTGCTAAGAGGCATCATGCTGTGGTGAAAAGAGAGATTGATTTGGAATCTGATTTTAAATCCAGCTCTGGCACCCTACTTCCTATGTGATTCTGGGCAAATTACTTAGCCTCCATGGAAATCCCGTTCCTCATATGTAAAAAGGAGAGGGTTGGATTAGAAGACCTCCCTTCCAACTCTAAATCTATCATCCTGGAATGTAGTAAAAGACTATCCTTTACTTGACTGTCTGAAGGACTCCAAGTCATCTGAACAAGAATGAGATTTATTTTGGTATATGTGGATGAAAAGCTCTTAGCTGGCTACCATTTATCATATTGGAGTAATAATGGCCTGAAGTAGGCAGGATCAATAGGTTAGCTATTCAATTAACCGCCTCCTGCTTGTCTGAAGTGGGTAAGATGGAGGTGTGGGAGAGGACAGGTGGCATCATGGGCTCCCTGGTGCCATCTGGGTACTGTAGGGATTCAACAGAACTGTCAGTGCCCAGGTCTGCCCACACTCGGCTGTTACCATGTGTCCCTCACCTCCCACTCCCAGTCTACCCTCAACTGCTCATGGGGTTGGGATGTTTTTTCTTTAGTCAATTTTTTAATTTGTTCTGCCTCTCAAAACCCTTCCTGATCTCCCTCCTAAGATCAAGGCCCACATTCTAACTAGATGCTGAACATATCCAGCTGTATATTCTTCTGGAACTTTAAGCACAATATATCTCTAATGGAAATCATCACCCCCCCGCCCCACAACCCCTGTACCTCATTCTGTTACCAGCACCGTCATCCTTTTAAGATGACCCAAGTAATCATCCTCTATTCCTTCCTCTCTGCCTCCCTCTTCCTATCTGATTAGCTGTTAAATTTCTATTGGTTGTTTCTTTGGAATATCTACTCCCTCCCATTCCAATGACTACCTTCCAAGTTTAGGCCTAATCTTACTTAGACAATTTCAGCGCCTCCTAACTGGTCTCCTTCCTTCCTGCTTCTGATACATCCCATTACACCCTACATACCACTATAGTTTAATCACTTTATAATATAACTTTGATTTTATCACTCACATATTTTAGAACTTTGATTCATTATCCATTTACAATTGAATAGAATACAGATTCCATATCGTACCATTTGATAGCAACTCACCTTTCTATAGCGCTTTTAGGTTGACCACATACTTTCCTCACAACCTTCTGAGGTAAGGAGTTAAAATCTTATTATCCATACTTTGTACATGTGGGAACTGAGACTCACAGGTGGAGTGACCAGCCCTGGGTCACTCAGGTAGCTCCTCCCTAATGGCATCCTTGACTATCCCAGCCCACAGTGATTTATCACCTCCTCCTCTGAATCTTTTAGCACCAACTGTGTGAACCATTTCCTGGCTGCCTCTCTGAGTCCCAATATCTTACTCATGGTTCTGTCTCCCTGTAAGGAAGGATTGATGGCAAACATCAAAACTGTCAGCTTCACTGTCTAGGAAAGAAAATGACTTGACTAGAGGGAATGAAGATTCAAGCTGGGAAGCTTTATGACCAAGATTGGAAAATTGAAACAGGCCACATATACAATGAATGAGGAAATGTAATTGCTGCTAGACTGTGTCCCTTGGGGATCAGGTGGCATATGCTTCTTATATCCTGCATAGTACCTCATAGGAAACTTAGGTACATAGTAGGTCCTTAATGAATATTTATTAAATGGGACAATGAAATAAATCAAACCAATACTTCACTTAAGGGAAGAAAGAGGGGAATCGGTAAGTCAATCAACAAATATTTATTGATTATTCATTTTTTTTGTCTTTGTATCCCCAACACTTAGCACAGTGCCTGGCACATATGGTAGGGGCTTAATCATAGATTTTACACCTAGAAGGGACCTTACAGGTGACTGAGTCCAATCCCTTCATTTTAGAAAGAAGGACACTGAAGCCCAGGAAGGTGCTCAAGGTCACACAGCTAGAAGTGTTTGAAGTGGGATTTATACCCAGACCTTCTTGATTCCAAGGCCAATGCTCTATCCACTACACCATGCTGCCTCTTCAAATGTGAATTGTCTGATTGACTAGGAGCCAGGAAATCTCAGTTTGAGCTCCTGCTTTGTTCCTATATTGCCATGTAGCTGTGGGCAAACCACTTCCCCTCTGTGGGACTTGAACGTCCTCATCTTTCACACGTGGGGTCTGGAGTGGCTGTTCTCACGGGTTTCTCACAGCTCTAATATTCTATGATTCCCAAATTAAAAGAAAAACAGAAACTTCTAGTGCCTTTTTCATGGTATGGAACAAAGGGCCCAGGACTGGGGTCTAGGAGACATGGGGCCTGAACCCCAATTCTTCTAATTTGTACTTTTTGTGCAAGTTTCTTGTTCTCACTTTCCTCTTTTATAAAGTCAGAAGGATGGAGCAGATGTCTAATCCTAATTCCGAGGTGGTCCTTAAGATTCCTTTAGCCTTTACCCTTCTGCCCCTGACAATTGATGTTCTTTGACATCAGTGTGTTAGACCACACCCCACAAAGGAAGTACTTTCATGGTTTCCCCCAATCCCCAACTCCCCATTTCCCTTGGTAAATATTGGACCAACCTGAAATTCAACCTGAAACCATTTATTTGACTGCTAATTGTAAGGCAGGAGTAGCAGTCACCAAGGGAGATTCCATTCAGCTGCAACCGAATCATACTGCCTTAGGTGTAACATTGTCTCCATCTGCAACAATGTTGGCACTGAATGGACAAAACTGAATAGACAAATGTGAAAGATAGATCATGGATCCACAGTGATTTAATTCTCGGTGATATTTCCATTTTATGCGAATGATGGAAAGGAAAAGAAAAAAGTGATCTAAAAAGTTGACCATTTAAAAGAAAAACAAGAAAAGAGAAGATATTTCAGTGTCTGATCACACAAGAATCCTTTTGCACACCTGTCAAGAGAGTTAAAACAAATAGAGATGTTAAATAAAAGCTCCAGGTACCAAAGAGCAAAATTTAATGAGAGTCACAACTATTAAATAGAGATTCCTGCTGAGAAAAATGTCAATGCCTTTAAGAGTTTTCCCATTTCTCTATTTTTAAGAAAAGTGTAATAAAAATACATATTACAAGTTAACATTTTTCTTGCTTTTTTTGTCCCATCCCTTTTTTTTTTTTGATTGAGTCACAAGATCCTGTTATCCCAGGCCTTCGGTCCTAGCCCAGGAGGTCTCTCCCTGTCTGACCATCTCTCTGGCTGGTTCAGTGGGTGGAGAGAAGGTGGTTGGATGTTCTGGCCAAAGGCAAAATGTCTTTGAAGAGCAGTGATAGGGAGGTGGGGAAAGGGGATGGTTATTTCCAACTCCACAGAAACGGCATAACCCCATTTCCTGTCCTGATCGGTCCCTGTGGTGTTGGTGGGGACAGTGCGCTGGGGAAAATCTGGAGGGAAAGTCTCCCGGCAGTGAATATTGGAAGTCCATCTTGGGTCCTTGTATGTGCCATGCCCACACCAGACACCCTGTACAGAAAAACAACGCTTGGATTTGACCTCAAGAGGGCACTCCTCACAGCTGACAATGGTCCCTTGAGGGGTATGGAAGAAACCTGGAAATGTAGGGGCATCCACTGAGAGACTCCAAAGACAAGAGGACATGCATGCTGTGCCATCAGTAGGCACCAGGTGTCCTTTAGCTTGCCGACTGCCAGTGATAACCTTTAGTGGAGAAGACGTCATATGTGGATACCAGGTCAGCCGATGATACAGAACAGGTCAGAGCGGGGTTGTCATTAAAAAGTTGTGACACATTACGGCACCGAGTCATGCATTAACAAGAATGGCTGTAGGGTTGCTGGAAGCCAGTTACACTGATACAATGGTTGGGTGGCCCTAGGAGAAGCTTCATATAAAAGACCCTCCGCCCTCCATCCCACTGAACTCTTATGTCTGCCTGAGACTGACTATCTCCTCAGACCCTATCTCCTTTCTCTCCAACCCACTCATGGTCTCAAAGGCTCATTTATTTCCTTAAAAAAATGAAACTGGGCCTTGCACACCTGCTTAGACCAAGGGGTAGGATTGCTCACTTAACCCAAATACAAAGTTCCCCTCTGGCTAGCAAGACCAGGATATTGGGGGCCTGGGGTCTTAAAATCCCCAGATCTAATCAGCTTTTTAATCCCTCTCCCCACAATTTCATTAAAAATGATTCTGCTTCAGGCATCACACCTTTAGAAATTGAGACAAAAAGAAAGACTTAGCTTGCCAGGCTGGCTACTTGTTCAAACAATTTTTTTTGTTTTGTTTTTAGTTCTAAGTAAAAATAAGTTACTTGGGTCCTAAAGCCCAAGGTTCACACTTAGTCCCTTGTGCTAGGCTCGAGACACTTGGATGGGATGCCCCCTCTGTGCCTTGTTCTGGAATAGTAAGGATTCATGGTCTCCAGTGCTCCAGGCTCCATTAGCCACAACACTCCTGATTTTCTTTTGCTTATGAGCTTCTGCAATTCCCTGCCCATCACTTTACTGTCTCGTTAGAGGTACAGGGCAGAAGAAACTGTTCTCCCAGTTTTGGAGACTGCAGCCAACTGTCAGGTAAGGTAGAGAAGACTTTTTGTTAAACTCCCTACCTGGTTCATTCACTACTCTCAAGTCTCAGCTTATACTGGCAAACTCATCTCCTTCAATGGCCAGAAGTTCTCTGAACTCAGACATGTACAGTTTTCAGGGCTGAGCCGGGCCCTGTACAGAACCTAACTTCCCACATAAGTCTGACTGACTGGCTCTAAAAAATTCAAAGTCATTGTTCCCTGTGCTCCCCAAAGGAAAGCTTTCTGGAATAATCCCTCATCTCACAGTGCTACTTGCCCATCTTTGTTTTTGCTTTTTTTCTTTTTCTCCTTTCCTTGCACCATTTCCAGACTGTCAGTGCCTTAATGACCTCTGTCCTTCTTCTTGGGGAGAACGCTGACAACTCTCCCCAACTACATACAGTTCTATACCCAGCCCTGGGCCACAGCTAAAGCAACGGATGGCCTAGAGGCCATGAAATGAATGAAGGGCAACTCTGAATCCTCCCCCATGGTGTTAGCTTGGACGTTTCCTTTGCCTTGCTGGAAACTCTGGCTTAATCATACAGATTCCAATCAGGCCTGAAACAAGGAGGGTTAGGGGGTGAGGAGAAGGGCAAACTGAACCCGCAAACCGTGGAGATTAGTAAGGAAAAAAATAATATTGCACATAGACATATTAATGACCAAGTTAAAAAAAAGTGGTGCAATCTTCTCATTAGTGATTCCATTTTCAGAGTTTGTGAGTCTGTTAAATCCAGTTACTTTTTTGCTTTATTGCAGTACAATGCAGTTATTCATCTTCTAGACTGGGTTCCTTCAGAGAGCAATGATAACAGAAGCAAAAAAGGAAGGGGAAAAAGAAAGGAAACCGGATTCTTAGTTCCTCAGGAAAGACCGTCGAATTGTCCTGCTATGGTCATGGTGACTGGTGATGGTTGCTTTTCAATATTTTTTGGCACTGAAGGGTTTGGGATGGGGCTTAGGGAGACCAGCCCTGCTCCCCTGGGGACTCGATCATCTCCTGTTACAATCCTGTGGCTCCCAAGGGCATCCCCGAGCTGTGGCTCATGCATGGAATTGCTTGCATGGATTTGGGGAAGTCGTGGCTGACAACACGGCCGTTCTCTCCACTGCCTCCTGCTCCACTATTCCGAGGCAGGGTTGCTGTCCGTATGGCTTCATTGATGGATTGCTGTGGGATCAAACAGAAACCCTTTTCAGGAGGACCGGGGGTTCTTCCCCATGTCCTTGACAATGGCCAATATGTTTCAATAGTCAATATTAGGTTTTGAAAGGTCCCACTTTTCTTCCCTGTTTCCATTATTTCCCTCTTCTGCCTGGTTCTCCCTAATCCAGGGACTCACTTATGATTTCACAGAACTCCTAGGTAGAGAAACTCCCTTTACCAATGCAAGTCAGAACTTCCTCTAGAACTCATCACTTTGGAGATCAGCCTGGGACACTGAGAGTTTAAGTGCCTTGCACAGTCACATACCCATTATGTATCAGGTTTTCCTGGCTTGGTAGTCAGCTCCTATACATTATGCAACACTGCCTGTCTAGTAGGCAAGTCTTTATTTCCACTAGTTAGCTGTGTAACCTTGGTTGAGTAGTTCTCTTTTGTCCCTTAGCTTCTTCATCTGTAAAACAGGTAGGATAACCCTTGCCCGACTTGCCTTATGGAGCCACTGGGAGGATCAAATGATATGACAGTTTCTCTATAAATGTGGGCTACTCTTCTGAGAGCTTAACAAACATTAAGTGAATTGAGGATGGTTGTATTCTCTAAGATCCCTTTTAAAAGAAAGGCCATGATTCTGCCAGGATGCTTATTTTTAATTCCTTCTGTCCCACCCGATTACGGTGCTACAGATACTAAGAAGTATCTGTAGGCTGGGGGCATCCTCGTACTACCAATCACGCTGACAAGAAGGTTTTCTTTTTTGGCACACCCATGATTCAGCCATACTTGTCCCATATAACGCCACACCCACATGAGTAAGCTCTGCCTCCCCCCACAATTCTCCCTGGCCTGGTTTATTTAAATCCCACCCTCTGTTGGGAGGGAATGTGAGAAGTTAAATCAAAGGCTTTATAAATATAACTGAGATGTTACAACCCTCGAAATATGAAAATGGAAACTCAAGGAATTAGCAGCTACTGAAAAAAGATTTTGAAAAACAAATAGGAACTTTTTTTTGAGGGCAGGGAACACCCCACGGCTCCAGATGGGTTTTGCTTCGACATGCTATTCTCTGAGTTTTATTTCAGCCAAATCCCTTCTCTAATGAAAAATGATTTACCAGACCCACACTAATGATGCCAGCCTTCTATTCTCAAAGTTGTATTCCCAGGGACATTCCATGCAAGGTAGCAGCACCTAATATCTATGTCCAAAGGCTAAGGGACAACTGCATTGGGTGTTAGTAGAAGGGTCTCCAAAACTTAGCAGGAAATAGCCAAAGCTTAAACTTTTTAAAGGGGATCTCCATAGAAGAAAAATCCATAACCTTCTAGTCCCACATTTCCAACTGCCCATTGGATATTCCCTGCCAGAACTTCCACAGGCATTTCAGGCTTGGCATTAGAGAGGCACTGTGATACAGAGAAAAGTAATGTGGGGCTTGGAGTCAGAAGACCTAGGTTCAAATCCCATTTCTCCTTATTTACTACTCGTGTACCTTTGAACAAGTCATTTAAACTTGCTTGGCCTCAGTTTCCTCATATGTAAAATGAGGGGATTCCTCATATGTCAAATAAGGTTCCTACTAGCTCCAAATCTATGATCTGATGTTCAGGTAATTATTTTCCCTCTAGATCTTCCCTTACATCATCTGCCTTGCCCTCTCTGCTCCTGCCATTTTCAATATCACTGCCACCACTATAGCTTTGGCTCTCACCTCTCCTTGTGCGCCTGATACTTGTTTTTCTTGTCTTCCATGTCCTAGTCTTTTCATTTTGTCTAAAACCATTGTGACTGAACCTACTGTTCTGATCATGCTATCCTTCCAAAAAAAAAAACCCTTCAATGATTTTGTCTAAAGCATAAAGTTTAGAGCATGGCATTCAAGGCTCTCTAGCGTCTGGCTTATATTTTCAGGTTTATTTCATATTATTCCATGTTCTAGCTGAAATGGCCCATTCTCTATGTTTCTGTCTTCACCCTACCCCCGCCCATCTCTATGCCTTTACTTATGCTACACTTCATGCCTTCATCTCCACTTCACATGTTCACGTGGACTATTTCTGCCCGACCTGGGGCAGAGCCTACCAAGCTCGTGTTGGTCTAACCGGCCACAACTGGACACACCGTACCTTGAGTCTGACATAGTGATGCCATTTTTGTCCTCTTCAAGAATAAAGGCCAATAACCAGCCAACCAACCTCATGCCTGGAAGGGCCTCCTTCCTCTCCCCTCCCTAAGTCCCTTCCTCCTTTCAAGGTCCAATTCCAATACCACCATATCCTTCATTATAGTAACAACTCCCACTTCTATAGTGTTCTAAGGTTTATCAAGTGACTTCTTCACAGCAATCCGAGAGGTGGGGAAGGAAAGTATCATTACCTCTATTCTACAAGCTGGAGCGTAGAGAAGCTAAACCATACAGCTATAAGATGGCAGAGCTAGGATTTGAACCCAAGTCTCCAGGTCATTTCATTACACCTCACTACCTCCAGGAAGGTTTCCCTGGCTGTCCTGGGTGAAAATGATCCCTCCCTCCTTAGATTTCTGATGGCACTTTCCCTGGGCCTCTCCCTCTGCACTTAACCCATTCTCCATTATTCTCCAACTATTTGAATATGTCTCCTCCCCTATATCCATTAGATGGTAAGCTTCTTAATAAAGCAGGGATTGTCTCATAGCTCTTTTTTGTATCGCCAGTGTCTCATATGAAATCTTGCCTGTTGTTGGCATTTAAGGAAATGCCTGTTGAATTCCAGTGATTAGCAGCAATTCCTATTGTAAAATTCTTGTTTGGCAATAACCAAAATCTGTATAATATAACAAACATACTCTCATTTTCCTATGGATAAAGGGAAAAAAATTGAGATTTTTTTCTAGAACTTTAAACTATCTACGTGCCATGTGCTATGCTCTCCATTTTGCAGATTCATTGACTGAATCCAAGATTAGTTAAAAGGCTTACCTAAGGTTATACAATCAATAAAGTGGGGGAGCTGGGACTAGAACTGGGGTCCTTTTGCTCCAAATCTCATCTCCTCCACTTACAACAGATAGTCTCCATCTGCTACAGGATAAGCTTTTCTTATACATTTTATTGAGAGAGAGCTTTAACACATTATAGGGCAAGGGGGATGGCCTTGGAGGGAGGGAAAAAAAGGTCCAAGATCTGTCTCTGACACATATGAGCTAAGTCATATCACCTCTCATTATTCCAGGCAGCTCATTAAGATTATAAGATAGAGATAAGCTGTTGATCCGAGTCACTGAAGGGAGTTTCCACACCAGGAATCTCTTACTCTGATTAAAATCACATATATGGACCAAAAATCCCAAACAAACATGAAAAGTCTTAAACTGAAGTCCATTTCAATAGCGCTTCATAGATATAGAACACATTTAGTTTTGTTACTTCTGTAAGCAGGTCAGTGATCATTACCATGTTGATGACAGACAGGGAAACTGAGGCTCAGAGAAATAACTTGCCTTGTCTGCTAAGCACTCATAAGGGTAGCCCACAGTTATAGAGAACCTGTCACATGTCACATCATTTGATCCCCCCAGTGACTCCATAAAGCACGTAAGGCAAGTAACTCACACAGAACATCACAGCCTGGCCTTGAATCTAGTTCCCTGGAATTTCAGTTCAAGGTCTTTTCCACAGTATACTGCTATGCTACAAATAGATTTACTTGGAGGAGATATAGGGGTTTGGAGAGTTGGGGGGGGGAGAAGGGGCCTTAAGAGCATGATTTTAGAGCTGGAAGGGTCTCCTGGTTTCTTTATACATTCCAAACATCTCATTTTACAGATGAGAAAACTGAGGCTCCGATAAAGTGATTTATCTAAGGTTACACAGATGGTAAATAAGAACCAAGATTTAAACCCAGGTTCTCTGCCAGCAGAGTGTGGGGAAGGCCTATGATAAATGACAGTCTGGTGGTATGCTCTGTAGTCCTGGGGAACTGATACACAGAAACAACACATGGTAGTTTAGAATTCCACCCACTGACAAGTTACTATTCATAACTCATATTCATTTTACAGATGTAAAGTATTTTACAAATGAAGAAAGCTAAATGACTTGCCCAAGGTGTCACAGTTCATAAATGGTAGAGTCTGGTCTGGAATCCATGTCATCTGACTGCAGGTCTGATGCTGTTGGGCTCTACTTCAACCCCCCATGTCTGATCATAATGTGACTCTACTGGAGACTTTATTCCAACCCCCTGCCAGCTCTTCTTTGAGACAAAGGTCAGCTAAGGTCGAAGGCAGCCTGGAAGCCTTGTGATAAGAGAGAGGGGGAAAAATGGCTTAATGATAGGTTACAACCTCATTAATGACCTCATCAGGGAGCCTCTGCGAAGTAACTGCGTGACCACCTTCGGCTAATGATTTTCCTCAGGGGGCTACCACCTCTCCCAGTTGCTCATTAACTTCCAGGGAGCAAGTGTGCCAGACTGCAACTGCTGCGGCTTAACTACATAGCCCATTAACACTGCAGTACTTAATTATGAAAGGGCAGCAAGTCTCCTGGGCAGTGCTGGTGGTTTGGGGGAGGCTAGGGGTTCATTTCCTCTGGGAGCTGACTGGTAAATGGCAAAGACACTGGATGTCTTTTCACTCTAGTGACAGCCCTGCATCCCCTTCTGGCCACTCCTTTGCCAATTGGGGGTGGGTCCCAAAAACTGGAGAATCTAAAATCTTTAAAAATAATCTTAACCCCAAGGTCAGTCTGATCATGCTACCCTCTCCACTCCCCCTCCGCCCCCCCATCTCAATAAACTCCAGTGGCTTCCTATTGCCTCCAGTAGCAAATACAGAATCCTCTGTCTGGCATTCAAAGTACTTCATAACCTAGCCCTCTCCTGCCTTTCCAGGCTTCCTATTCCCCAGAACATACTCTTCTATCCAGTGACACTGGTCTCCTGGATCTTTCGCAAAAAAGACTCCATCTCTTGGCTTCCAGCATTTTCTCTGGCTGTCCCTCATACTTGGAATGCTTTCCCTCCTCCACTCTGACCACTGAC